AGCCTCGTGAAAATGATCCCGGGCGGCGGCACCGGGCACGCGGGCGGCACCGGGCACGCGGCGGCACCGGCGGGCGCCAGGCCCCCCGTCTGTGCGTGTTGGGGGGGTGCTCAGCCCCCAGGACACCCCCTTTCCCCCATCCCATCCCAGCCCCAGTCCCCACGCCATGGGGACCGCTCCATCCCTCGGCCATCTCCATGGCGACTCGCTGTGCCAGGCGCATCGCCATGGCAACGGGCCGGGCCACGCAGCCTCGCCATGGCGACTGTCGTCATCGCGCTCTGTCGCCATGGAGACCCCCCCCATCTCCCCGAAATCTGCTCCCCGCCGGGCCCCCCCCACCTCGGGGTTGGGGTGGGGGTGCTGCTCCTCAGGGCGGGGGTCCCCAAAGGTATGTGGGGTGTGGGATGGGGGTCCCTCGTGTCCCCAGGGATCGGAGCACCCCAGGATGGGGACGAGCAGCCCAGGGTGCCCCACGCTGGGGGTCCCCAGTCCCCGGGGGCTGGTGGGAGCAGCCGAGCCCTGTGATGGCAGCCTCCGACTGGACCCGCTCCCAAGGGACGGTGACCCGAGACCCCCCAGGACGGGACCTGGCACCCGCAGATCCAAGTGCAGCCCTTTGCCTTTGTCCCTGGTGCCATGCCGGTGCCTCCTCACTGTGCCCACCCACCTGGCTGAGGCCTGATGCACTCAGTGCATTTCTGGGAGGGCCACCAGCCGCCTGTCCCCTGGTTTTGGGGCACAGACGAGCAGGGCGGGGGGTGCTGGAGGGGGACACAGCTGAGGGCAGACCCTGCCACCCCCACACACTGTGTCCCCCCTACCCCTCGCGCCTCCCCAGCCCCCTGAAACGGGCCCAAGCACTGCCATCTGCCGTGGGGGGGCCGGGGGCCTCTGCCAGCAGCGCTCCTTGAGCCGTGCCCGCGCCGGTGGCACCACTGGTGTGTCCCCCCCGACCCACCAGGGTGGCCATGGCAGGGCTGCTGCGGCCACAACCAGCCTCCTGGGGGTGACTGTGATGTCACACTGATGTCACAGTCCAGGTGTGATGTCATATACCTCTGTGACGTCACCAGGGTGGCCTTGTTCCCTCACCAGCAGCACAATGGCAGCTCCCTCCAGCCCTGGATCAGGGGTTGGGGTCCCCTGTCCCAGCCCCCCCGCTGTCCCCAAAGAGCATCTGACCCAAGCAGGGACAAACCCAGCGACCCCTGGGTGACAAAGAAGCACAGAGTGGAGGGGGACAAGTCCCCTGGGGCCACCTATGCCCCCACCCCAGGACTCTCCATCCCCAGCCCCGCAGGGCTCCGGCAGTTTCCCACTGGACAATTCCCAGGGTGCCGTTTGCCTAATTAACAACATGTGACTTAAAAAGCACTTGGCATGTTCCCGGCCCTTGTGTGGCAGTGGGGGGGGGCAGGGAGAGGACACAGACAGTGGGGTTGGATGCCCCAGGGCAGGATCCGGCCAGGACCACAACCCCAGGGCTGGCACAGCATCGCCCCATCCTCCTCTGGCTAAAGAAGGGGGGGTTCACTAAACCCCTCCCAGTCCGAGCTGAGTCAGGGCCCCCCCTTTTCTCCCTCCATCCTTCGTTTCCCTCCTCCATCAGCTTCCTCTTGCCAGGCTTCCCAACCCACCCATGACCCCACGGTCACCCCTTTAGGGACACGGGGACAGGCAGGGCACCCACCCCCCTCCCCATCCCCACGGGCCCCCCACCCACAGCTCTGGGTGACTGTCACTCACCCCGTGACAGGAAGATGCCCAGGGACGGGTCCCAGGAGGGAGGAGCTGCTCCAGGGACCCGGCCTGGAGGTAGCAGGGACAGGGACAGGGACGGGGCCGGGGACAGGGATGGGGACAGGGATGGGCTCAGCTCCTGCTCCCGCCGCTCTCCTCCCCTCGGTGACATTCCCGGCGGTGGCTCCGCCGCGCGTTAGCGCATCCATCTCTCCCCATCCTTCACCTCCCAGAAATATTGCAGCGCCGAGCCGGCTCCATCTGGCACGGCCCCCGCCTCCCCCCGCACCGCACCGGGGACGCGCCGGAGCCGCATCCGCCCGCCCGGGCCCCGCACGGACCGGCCCGAGGGGGCACAGCGACCCTGCCAGCCAGGGGGGCAGCCGGGATGGGCCCTGTCCCACACCGGGGAGGGACAACGTGGCCTCCCCGAGGCGGTGCCACGCGCCGGCCCCACGCTGGGGATGCGGCAGCCGGCTGAGCCCCGGAAAACTCGCCCCACGCGGAGCCCCTGGAGCCACCGCGGGCCCAGCTGGCTCCCAGCCGGGTCCCGGCACCACCCAGCACCCGGCTCCCACCCCTGGCTCTGCCAGGGATGACCCGCTGCCCGCTGCCGTGCCCTGGCCGTGCCCCCAGGGTGGCACGTGTCCCCTGGCCTACGCCTCCGGGATGGAGCCGTGGCTGCCGCAGGCAGGGTCCCCACGTGCATCCACGGCCTTCCTGCCGGAGGGAGGGAAGGGACATGGAGGATGGATTTTGGAGGAGGAAAGAGCTTTGTGCCCTTTCCTGCTGGGCACCGGGGACCTGGATGGAGTGGCCAGAGGTGGAGGTGGCAGTGCTGGGACAGCCGGCCCTGGCACACAGGGACCAGCAGAGGGATGGGCAGCAGAGCCCAGGGGTCACTGGACCCAATTCCCCAATCCGCTGCGCCCAAAAAGGCAGCACCCAGCTCTACCCCTGCTCCCACCCAGCTCCCTGAGCTGTGCCTGGTCCTGGGTTCACCTTGACCTCACCTGCCCCTGCTGTGCACAGCAGCCCAAATTCCCATGGGATGGATCCTGCTCATGCAGCCCCTGCGCTGTGACACCGGGACCCCGCTCACCTTCCCAGATGAAACCCCCACTCCAAAGTCACCCAGGGACCCGGGCAGGGCTGGCCCTGCCCCCTCTGCCCTGTACCATCAGTGGTTGTGGTGGAGGGGACAGCACGGGGACAGCACCGGGCTCCCTCTCCTGCCCTCACCGTGGGCCGTGTCCCGGCACAGTCCGGCCGAGGGCCCGCGGCACCGCGAGGCAGCGGTTTGGGTTTTCATCTCCCCGCTCCTCTTTCATCTCCTCTCCCCGTTTCATGTCTCCACTTTCTTCTCCCTCCCAGCGCTGCGCATGCTGATGAGCCTCACGCCGGCGCCCACCCCGGCGCTCGCCGGCTGCTAATTAGGCTGGAACGGATACATCGGGCCGGGGGCTTGTGAATGTCCCTGTCCCCGTCCCTGTCTCTTCTCGGGCCAGCCCGGCCACTCCTCGGCCTCAGGCAGCCCCGGTGCCCCCACAGATCCCCCACGTGCTGTGAGCCCCGTGCCAGGAACCAGGACACCGCCGGCCTCGCTGCCCCGATGCCCGAGGTGTGGCCACCCCGTGGCCTGGGGACCGAGGGACTTACCCAGAGCTGGCACCGGTGTGCCACGGGCATCAGGAGAGGGTGGGCTCCCGGAGCGCGGCGATGCCCGCCAGGCACCCGCTGGCAAAATGGAGATGGCAGCAACAGAGGGAGCTGAGCGGTGCTGCGGGAAAGGGACGTGGCGTGCAGGGAGGATGCCCGGGAATCGGTGCCCGGCGTGGCACCGGCACCGGCAGGGCTGGGGTGGGCCCTGCCTCCCCGCGGGCCGGCCCCAGCCCAGGTGCCATCTGCTCGGCCACAGCCGTGAGTGACAGTCGGGGGGTTCGGCGGCGGGGGGGACGCTCACCGGCAGCGGAGGCCCCTCTGTCACGTGCCAGCCCCGGCACCTGCACCGGGGGAGTGGGCACCGTCGGCGCCGCTGGCACAGCCCTGGCAGCCGGGCACGGCCAGCCCTTTGTCTGCGTGTGGGCACAGACGTGGCCACCGCTGTCACCGTGTCCCTGCCGTGCCCACGCCGTGGATGGCACGTGTGTGGCACCTCAGCCCCGGCCCGCAGCCCTCGAGCCAGGCAGGCCCCGGCCCCTCAGGCTCGTGGGGACAGAGGGATCCAGGACGCAGCACCGACCTCAAGGGGCACAGCCAGGAGCGGGGCACTGGGTGATGGGATGTGGCTCCTGGGGACACCGTGTGCCCGTCTGGGCTCCCTGACCCAACAGAAAGGGCAGCAGCAGTTTCTGGGCACACAGACACCATGGCGGGGGCAGATTTGGAGGCCGGAGGGTGACAGAGCAGGCACCAGCAAGGAGTCACCCAGTAGACAAAGGCCTGGCCGGCTGTGCTGTGGCACTACTGGGCCTCAGCCACCAGCACCGTGGCACTGGCACCCGCGGGGGGCTTGGAGCCCGTGTGTGTTGGGGAGGACACGTGTGTGCAGGCGTGTGTGTGTGTGTGTGTGTGCACGGCCGCGTGCCAAGGGCTGTGTGGGGCTGTGCCGTGGGCACGGAGGGAGGTTGGCGTGGCCGTGTGGCCACAGGGGTGCCGGAGGGGCCATGTGCCACCCGTGCGGGGACACACGGCCCCGCAGGCACCGACCCTGCCCACGCCACACCCGCAGCCCCCTGCCCACCCCGCTGTGGCCACGCCGGGCACCGCCACCACCGCCACGGTGCCCGGCCACAGCCCCCAGCCTGCGCCAGGCCCTCGCCGGCACCGCCATCGCCGCCCGGCTGCCGGCTGAGGGTGGGGACGGACCCGCTTGAGCCGCCGCGGCATTTTGCGGCGAGCCGCAGATGCCAGCTCCCAGCGAGGGACCCCGTGGCATCTCCCCCCTCGCCCCAGCGCCCGCCGGGGTCCCCGCCGCGCTCGGCCCAGCCGGGATGGCCGGTTTTCCCTCCGGCTCCATTGTTCCTGCCGGCCCCGCCATCGCCTGCCTCTCGCCCGGGTCCCATTTTGTGCCGTGCAGGCAGAGCTGGAGATTTGGAAGAGGGTTTTTTTTTTTTTTTCCCCCTTCTTTTTTTTTTTTTTTTTTTTTTTTTTTTTTTTTTTTAGAGTACAGAGTGACAGATGGCGAGTCCTCCTTCCCCAGAGAGACAAATCTCCCTGAATGCAAGCGCATGTCAATCATTAGCTCTCATGTGATAGCTCTCGCGCATGACGTGCCAACCATATGGCACTGGCAGCAGAGCTGGTACCCCCTTTGCTGGGTAGAGATGCCACTCTCGCCTCCTTTTGGATAGAGGACTGCAGGAGGCTGGAGCACCTCAAGGAGCCGCGTCCCGCTCCCAGAAGATGCTGGGAACAATGAAATAAGAATTCCTGCGGTCCGCCCGAAGGTGAGTTATGTAAGAAGTGGAGGGTTGGGAGGGCAGCGGAGGAAACTTGAATGGAGAAAAGGCAACTTCCATGTTGATTTTGTTTCTCCGCCACGTCTCGCCCTTTTTTCCCCCCATCTTTCGTTCTCCCCCGGCCCTCGGTTCTCCCGTTCCCCGCCGGCCCCGCTGATGGGATTTTTCCCCCCCGCCGGAGCCCCCCCAAGGGGGGGTTGTTGGGGTTTCGCCCCCCCCCGGCGCCCCCCCCAGCCTGGGCGCGCCCGGGGCTCCGCGGTCCCGGTGGGACGGAGCGGGCAGCGGCGGCCGGGCGGCATCAACGAAATCAGCGCGGAGCCTCCGCGCCACCGCCCCGGGGGGGCCCGACCCGGCGGAGCCGCCCCCCCGCTCCCCCGCGGCGCCCCCGGCCCCCGCCCCGGGCGGTGCCCCCCGCCCCGGCCCCGCCGCGCCCACCGGCCCCGGGGGCGCCCCCGGCAGCGCCGCCGCCCGCGCCCCCCGCGTTCCCCCGGGGGGGCCCGGCCGCCCCCGCCGCCCCCCGGTTGGTGCCGCCGCATTTTACGGGCCCCGCTCCGGCGGCCGCGGGGAGCCCCGGGGCGGGGATGGGGGGGCGCCGGGCGGGGCTGACCGGGCCGGAGGGGGTACGAGGGGTACGGGGGGTACGGGGAGGGGGGGCGGCTGCGCCTCGACCCCCCGGCCACGGGACGGCGGTGGCGGAGCCGCGGCCGGGGTCCATCCGCGCCCGCGGCGGGGAAAAGTTGGAGGCGTCAAAGCAGGACCGGCGACACCGGGCCCAGCCCTCGGGGCACCGGGGAGGGGGTCACCGGGCGGGCCGGGGGCGGGGGGCGCGGGAGGGTGGGGGGGGAAGGAGCGGGAGCGGGGCGCGGGCGGCGGCCGCGGGGACCCCGGCGGTGGGGTCGGGGGGAGGTCGGGAGGGGCGGCATCGCCGCGCCCCGAGAGAGCCCCGGTGCCCCCGGGGTCGGGCGGCCCGGGCGGGGGGCGGCGGCGGGCGGCCCCGCGCCCAATTCGTTTTCGCCGGTGCCGGCGGGTGGGAGCGGGGCGGGGGGGGGTGGGCGGGCGGCGGGGCCGCCGGTAACGCCTGGCTCTTTGCCCCCCGCTGCAGCCACCATGTTGACGCGACTTTTCAGCGAGCCCAGCCTGGTCCCCGAAGTCCCGAAATTCCCCGGTTGGGCCGAGGAGTGCGAGGAGGATGCCCGGAGCGAGAAGGAGGAGCGGGCGGGGAAGGGCTGCGCCCTCCCCGAGGAGCCGCCCGAGGGCTCGCTGGGGGAGAGCAAGGAGGAAGGGGAGCTAGGAGGGGACGAGGAGGAGGAGGAGGAGGAGGAGGAAGGCCTGGAGGAGGCGGAGGGCGAGCGGCCCAAGAAGCGCGGCCCCAAGAAGAGGAAGATGACGAAGGCGCGGCTGGAGCGGTCGAAGCTGCGGCGGCAGAAGGCGAACGCCCGGGAGAGGAACCGGATGCACGACCTGAACGCGGCCCTGGACAACCTGCGCAAGGTGGTTCCCTGCTATTCCAAAACCCAAAAACTCTCCAAAATCGAGACCCTCCGCTTGGCCAAGAACTACATCTGGGCTCTCTCCGAGATCCTGCGCTCGGGCAAGCGGCCCGACCTGGTCTCCTACGTGCAGACTCTGTGCAAGGGGCTGTCCCAGCCCACCACCAACCTGGTGGCCGGCTGCCTCCAGCTCAACTCCCGCAACTTCCTGACGGAGCAGGGGCAGGAGGGGGGTCGGTTCCACGGCCCCAACGCCGCCTCCTTCGCCGTGCACCCCTACCCCTACCCCTGCTCGCGGCTGGCCGCGGCGCCCTGCCCGCCCGCCGCCGGCCCCGGGCCGCACGGGCTGAGGACA